AAAAAAAAAAAAATGGTGAGCGATAATCTGTGTTTCATTAGCGTTGATAGTAGACGAATGTTGGAAAAAATTGGTAAACGGTTAATACAGCAATGAAACAGTGTTAATCTGTTGTGCTTAGCCAGATATGCTTTTTTTTATTTTCAGAATTTTCTGTGAAAATCTTTTTTTTAAACTTTCTAATATTCTTGTATAAACTTTTTTTTTCTCTTTGGTTTTTGTTATAGGAAAAAGAATTATTTTTTTGACAGCCTTAACTTGATGACTTTTCAAATCAATTTTAACTGTGATTTCACTTTTTAAACTTACAGCACTGTTTTTTGGTAGTTGATATTCATATTTAAGGAGGGTAAAAAAAATAAAATAATGCATTTTTTTATACAAATTTGAAGTCAAAAACATATTTAGAACAAGAATTTGCGAGACAGTTGTTAAACTCTTTTTCTAATTTAGCAACAATTTATCATTTCTTAGAAGTTCAAAAAAAGAAGACTTAATGTAAGTTTTGTTTCCAAAAAAAAAGGAAAAAAAAAAGATATCAAATTTCCTCTCAGTACTTTCCCGTCGTTGTCAACGTTATCGTCTCTTCAATCGCCATTATCATTTGTCACGGATTAATGATCTTGTTTCTAAGCCTAATCCAAGATTTTCAGATAAAATAAAACTGCATGTAAAAGAAATGAAAGAAACAAGCTTGCACTTAAATTTTCTTTTTTTAGCGTCTAGACTTGAATGTGAAGATCATACGTTCAATACATTGAATGTCGACTTGGGATATGTTCATCTGGTACAGAAGGTGGCAATTATAGCACCATTTTCCATCTATCAAATACAGACTGAGATAACCAAAGATCAAACAACACGAAATCAGCTAAAATCATTGAATAATTCACCGCTGGTATTGGTTTTTTTTCTCTTTTCTTTTCATTTTTTTTTTCTTTTCTACCTTTTATCGTTATTATTATTTTTTATTTTCACATATACTTTTTTTTTTTCATTCTTTATATTTTTATTTCGCATTAGCAATTAGCTTTTTTTTTCTTTGTTTTTTCTTTTTTTTTGCTATGAAATCAACTTTTTTTTTTTTGTGTGTGTGTGTCATAAGAACTGCTAAAGCTGTTTTGTATATGCCCACACACAAACACACACAGAACACAGTTGTTAATACCTGCAAAAGTCAAAAGAGTTATTTTTTTTTTTTTTTTTTTGGATTTTAAGAAGACTAATAAAAAAAATTTTTTTTCACTATTTGTCTCTTAATTATAAAGTATAGGTATAATTTTGTTTTATTTTAGTTTCTCTTTTGATTTACACAAGACATAATTATTATTTTATTAGTTACATCTATCGGTTATGCAATTGCTAATGTTACGGGTCGGTAGCCCGTTGAAGTTTAATGTTTCTAATTAATTATTGAACAGTTGCAAGAAGGTTCTAAGAACCTAATCGTTGCCAGCTGTCTATGAATTTTTATCAATTTTGTTGCAAAAATTTTTGTATTAAACAATTAGTTTCGTTCTATGCTGTTTATTTGTATGTATCAGTCTTTTTTTTTCGCACTTTTCAAACCTTATTCGAAGTGTATCAAATTCTTTAATTTTATAATTTCTTCAATTCATTATTCTAAGGACTTTAGAGGGGAGAAAAAATGTCAACTAAGCCATATTTGAAGACAATTAATGAACGTTGCTGATTAGCCAAAATAGAGTAAAGTCAAAATAAGGAGCAACAAAAATTAAGGATTTCAAAGAGAATTAGTCATTGG